CACAGATACGTCACCTCATACCTAGCAGCGTGGCTGTGAACAAAAGCACAAAATATAACACTGGCAGGAACACGGAGAAAAAGAGACTCCTGTACACTGCTGATGGGGTTGTAAATTCAGACAGCCCTTACGGGAAATAATATGCAGGCTTTCAAAAAATTAAACAGAGAGCTACTGCGTGGTCCAAAAGCCCACTTCTGAATGTAGGTGTACCATGGAGATAAGATGAGTATCCTAAAGAGATTATTTATATTCTTGTGTTTGTTGCAGCATTACCCCAAATAACCAAGACAACCTAAGTATCCATTAGTAGATGAATGAATAAAGATAATGTGATGCACAAACAAAATGCACAATGCAATATCATTTAGCTTTACAAAAGAAGGAAACTCTGTCATCAGAAGGATAGTACCCTAACTAAAAGGCAGCAAAGAAGAAAAGACAAGTGTAATCTCTCTTCTATGCGACATAGCAGTAGCAGAGGAGTAGGGGGAAGGGGAGATACTGATAAAAGGGGATAAAGTTTCTGTAATGAAAGATTAGTGTGTTCCAGTGATCTAAGGCACAGAATGACAGTCACAGTAATACTGTCATATTTCCTGACATTAGAACAAAATTTACAAAGCCTGTAACTAAATGAAGAAGCTCTATTTTCGCTCACAGTTTTAGAAGTTTCCGTCCATGGTCACTGAGCTCTAAAGCAGGATCGTGATGGCAGAAGGGCATAGTGGGGCAAAGCTGCTGCATCCCTGCCGCTGGGAAACAGAGTATACAAAAGGAATGTCCATGAGAGATGAACTCAGAGGGTACACCCCTGATGCCTTTTGCATCAGACCCCAACTCCTGCCAGCATACTGACCTGTAACATCAGGTGGTTAATCCAGTGATAAGTATGATGGCCAGTGATCCCGTCATCTTTTCAGAAGTGTCTTAATTCAGTTAAGTTGACAGTTAAGATTAACTGGCACAGTGTTGTACATTTGAAATTTGCTAAGAGTATAGATCATAAAATCTTTTAGCATATAAATAAGATGACTCTTTGATATGATGTATATGATAATTGCCTTTAGTGGGATAATCATTTCACAAGGTATACATATACAAAAACACCTTACTGCAACATCTAAGTGCATAGATAATTTTATTAGTCAAAGCTGGAATGATGTAAAATATAAGAATGATAAATAGGATTTATGTGAAGACGCTTTCTAAGTATGAAGGATTATGAGATATAGGGTGATTTTACTTTAAATCTTAGACTTAGGGTATACAGCAAGCTTTAAGGTGAACACTTAAATTTTTTTTAAAATTTGTAGTGAAAGACACATTGCCAAGAATGATGGGATAAGTGTGTTGGAATCAGGGTAAGTATTTTGAAGGCTACTAATGGCAATGTATCTTTTACTTTTTATTTGAACTTTCTTCACATTTTCCCATCATACAAAGGAGAGTAGTTTACATACAATAAAAGACTTTACTTACAGTTAGATTTTTCTTTTTCTTTGTTTTTAATGTGACAATGTTTTCCCCAGGTCCTATTCTAAATCCAAAGTGTTTATGTGGTCTCTGGTGTGTCACTATTTCTGGGTTGTGTTTAACTCAAGTAGATTTAGTCTGTCTGCTACGAAGTGTTGTTAACCTACCTAAAACCAGTGACTACTATTAATAGTGATATTTGAAATGATAATGATAGCAGAAGTGTATCTTGTGCATATGTGTGATACTTCATGTATTCTTCTAAAATAGTTTTATAATAAGCATGTCAAGCCTGTGAGATAATAAAATGACATGCCCATATTACCTTTGTGAAAATAAAGTCTGAGAACTTGATAATTCTATCTGATATTTCTCAGTGCCACCTTCTAGTGGTACAAATGTTGGTATGCAGATTGTTTTCCCATAAAGTTTCTGTGGAAAAATAGACTGAAAAATGAATTGGTGTAAAAAATCCTTCAAATACTTTCACAAGATTATGATATTTTTGCTGTATTAGTGGATAGGATATAGCTGACCATATTATTGAAACTTCTCATCTGCTATGATGGGTTTGAAAATATCTTTAATATCATGGATGATGATACTGAAAATCATTTTTAAATTCATACTTATATGAAAAGTAAACAAGGGAAATTCTGAGTTAAAAATACAACATTAGGTGATTTTGTCTCGTTTTGCTTTTTTCATTTATAGTATTTTACAATAAATACTTTTGATCATTTTGGAAGAACTATAATAGTTGTCTTTTTGGAGTGAATTGTTAAAAAATCTGTGATCAAGGGGCTGGGGATTTAGCTCAGCACATAGCGCCTGCCTGGCAAGCACGAGGTGGTGTGTTCGAATTCCGGTACTGGGAAAAAAAGAAAAAAAAAGAAAAAAAAAATCTGTGATCAGTATAAAGTCATTTCATTCTGGACCTCAGAAAATGAAATATTAGACAAACAATTAATAAAAAGAATCTTTAAACTGTATTTTCAAAATGTTTTTCATCTTTAAATAAACATTGTTATAATGGTTGTACTATGTTTTATGTAAAAATAATATCCCAGAGAGATTCAACCTACCTTTCTCCCTTTGATTTTTAATGTGGCTTGATACAAAATAGTAACAGAATCCTAAATTATTTTGAAAAATAATGCTTTTTATAGAATAGTGTTGATACTGACTATAAAGATATTAATGGCATAGTATTTTTTGGTTTTTATACCTTAACATGCACCATTTCATTAGTTAGAAGGCTATCTTGACTAATCTTTGGTTAAGTAAGGCATTTGGAAGTCACAGTGATTAGTATTTACAACACATTCACTTTTTAAATTTTCTTGCACATAGGTATATATTCTATATGTAATCTGTGTTGTGCTGTGAAAGTTGTATTGGCTTAACAGCTAAAAACATGTCATTTAATTTGAGATATCTTTTTAAAATGGATTTTCTTTGTAATAAGGAAGTATAGTATTGCTATTTTTAAGACATGTCAGGGCACTAAAATGTCAAGCTGCCTATCTATGCTCAGTTCATGCGAGAGAGGACAACACATTTCCATTCATATTATTATAAGCTGGTCATCAGCTACAGACATTACATCTCTGCTGGGGAGCTATAGACCTGCTAACTCCAAGGATTAACTGTTCTGCTGAACAACCAAAAGCCTGTGGCCTATAAGCTTTTATTAATTTTTCACTGATAACGCAGAATATACTTTTTAGTTTAAGCCAATTACATTTTAATTTAGGGACTAAATAAAATCCTCATTAAGCCCGACACATGTAGCCTCGAGTCAACATAACACATTTTCTACTTTAAGTCAGAGTGAATTCTTCACTCCCTTCCCTTATGCTGAGAGTATCTTCACGATTATGCACAGGTATGAATCACAGAGAGAAATGAAGCTTTTGTTCCAAAACCAATAGGAAATCTAGCCTTGAAACTGCATTTCTGAAGTGAATCAACAACCTTAAAGGAAGGAGTAATTATTGTATTCATCCTACATATCTCATGCTACTATTGGGGGGGACTAAGCCATTATTTCGGTGTAAAAAATCTACTTATTGAAATATTATTGAATTTGGAAATTTTCTAATTAAAATTTACAGTAATGAAACCACCATGAACATGAGTGTTTTTTTCCAGCAGAAGAATTAATTTTATTACATGTACTTTTCCCCAAGTATAAATCAATCCAGATGTATTTAGTTCAATTTCCACAGAAGTGTCCAAGCTTTTAATTTCTTTTCAGTAGTGTTACTTAATTATTCTGTTTAGAATTTAAAATTATTATTTTAAATTTTAGAATGTTGACATTTATGAAGTGTAATCTAATTTATGAAGTTTGAGTCACTATTCAGCTGAACACAAAAAAATTAGAAAAAAATGTGGCAGTAGTAGAAATTAGACCCAGGGCCTCATATATGCTAGGCAAGTTCTCTACCACTGAGCAATGTTCCCCCCCATTTTTATATGGAGATGGAGCGTCCTTATGTATCCCAGGCTGGCTTCAAACTTCTGTCCTCCTGCTTCACTCTCCCTGGGTGATAGGACTAGAGCCATGCCTCACTGTGCACTGCTGAGAATCAATTCCTTTGTGTGTGTGTGTGGGTACCTCAAATCAAAGGATCTTGTGTTAGCCAGGCAGGTGCTGCACTGCTGAGCTACATCCCTGGCTCCTGAGAAGCAATTCTTAAACATGGATTTATAGATACAGTTAGTACTATTATATTAATTACATAAGTTAATTAACATATACATTTTAATGTTTAAATATTAGCTTTATAGGCTTGGATAAAGCTGCTTAATACCATGTTTACCTCCTTTAACATGAATGTTGCCATAACCACTCAATTTAATTTGCAAGGGCTGGGGATTTAGCTCAGCAGCAAAAGTGCCTGCCTGGCAAGCGCAAGGTCGTGAGTTCGGTTCCCGGTACCAGAGGGGGGAAAAAAAAAAAATGTAATTTGCAAGTATTTAGTGACAATCTGTCATATTTTTTCATACTTTGATTATGAATGGGAGTTGATATTTGCTATTAAATAATCTTCCTTTCCTGTATTCACATTGGCAATATCCTATGGACCAGCATGTGTTGCTTCCAAATACTCAGCTTCTACCTCAAAATCATGCTGATTTCAACAAGATAAACTGAATGGATTAATTTTTATGAGTTTTTAAAAATATAACACTACAGACATTTCTTTAAAAAAACTGATGTTGTGAAACCATGAGGTTCACATACTTGTGAGGCTGAAGCAGGAGGAATGCATGTGCAAGGCCAACCTGGGAAATCTTCACTCAAATTAAGATTAAAGAGAACACAAGGATATAGCCCAACAGTAGAACACACCTGGTACTGCCAAAAAATAAATAAGTTTGTAAAACCATAATGTCTTAAGTCAACCAAAATCTTTACTTAAATCTATGTAACTGGAACTGAAATGTTGCGCGGATGAATATAATTATTTTAATTGCTTGAGCTTACAGTCTGTTGTCTTTGTTTTTGCTTCCAGATGCAATAACAGAACCCAGTGTGCAGTGGTGGCGGGTCCTGATGTTTTTCCAGACCCATGTCCAGGAACCTATAAATACCTTGAAGTGCAGTATGAATGTGTCCCTTACAGTATGTATATTTCCATACTTTTCTTCTAAGAAGGAAAATAATTGTTTGTTTTGCATGCACTGACAAAAATATTCTCTGTGGAGACATAAAACTCATCACAAATGGAAAAATGAATTAGTTTTAGTTTGTCGGTGTCATAGACTCCACCCATCACTGGAAAAGTTAGAGCTTGCCTGCACGTTCTTGCAGCACTTAAATTTTGTCATATATTTCTATGTATTGATACCTATTTTAACGCTGTTTTAAATGCAGAAATGTAAAACATTTAGGAAAATATTGAGAATGGTTATGCCAACCCTGCATCCATCCCGATCTAAACAAATAGGACAGGAAGGGAAGAATATTCTTCTATAGACACTGGTACAGGAACTGGTAAACTTTGACTTTGATAAAAAATAGTATCTGAGCTTCACGTGCTATGAGCATTTTAAAAATCAGAAATATATTCACCCGGAGGGAACAAGCTGTAAAGAAATACAAGGATTACGTGTTCTAAAGTATCCTTCATAGTATATTTCAACAGCCTCAAGAAGTATGTCTTTGTAACCCTTATTTCAGATACAGTGTAAGGCAGCAATGCATTTTTTCTTCAGAAATAATGACAAAATCAAACAATCTAATGTGGAACATTGTCTGACTTTTTTACCCAAATTTTTCAACATCTCATAAGAAAGAAATTGATCTGACTAATTAATTATTCATGGAGTTTCTAATCACTCAGGAAATCCTGTAGTTTCTCATTAGATGTGCAGCTTATCCCAGAGATAGAAAACACCTGGGACCACAAACAAATCCCTGGTTCCACCTTCCTTTGATCTCTTTGAAGCAAAATATCTGGGCTCACAGGTTTACTGTTCTGAGAGGGTTAAGCTTGCCTCTTTGGCATTTATCTAAAGAAGAGCACGTTACCCAGGAGCTGGGAAGTGTACGTACTTCAAACATAGAGATAGATATACCCAACAAGATTGAAGTGAAATTTAAGGTGCTGATGAAAGTAATCAAGGGAAAATTTTATTTTTGCATTATTTGTAGCACGCTTGCTTGGAGAAAGTTCACCTAGTGAAGTTTCAGGTACTGATCTTTGTGATGAAAAAGTGTAAGTTCACAAGTTTATTGAACTTTCAGCGATGTTATGGTCTTACGTTGTTTATTCCACAGGCTTTTCATGAAAAATAAAAACATCCTACTGACCTTTTATTGTTCAGCAGTGATATTTTAACTAAACCGAATTCATAGGCCATTTTAACTGTGACAGTTATACCTGGACTGCATAATAAGATCACTGTGGAATATGTAGAATTATGCCCTAAAAAAGCATTTTATACCATTATACAATAAGATGGACCTGGTTTTTAAGGACACTTAGAAAACTCATACTCAAGGTTTTTTTTTTAAAAAAATCTTCATATTTTGAAATACAGAACCAGAAGTGAAATGTTGGGTTGTACTTTATCATAATTTTTTTAAAGTAAGTAACTTCACAGCTGTCTCTTCAATTTCCTGTATTTCATCAGAATTTCTTTGATGATCACTGCTCTAGAATCCTCTGCCAAAATCATTCAGAAATATCTCCTTAAATCATTTCAGTGCAAATCAGAACTTCCTCATATAGTTTTGCAATAAGGGACTATGATTTACCACACAAATCCTTTCTTTCATAAGTTTTCAGAGATGGGCAATTTGAATTCTTAATAACCTCTATTCAGAGGTTCCTCTTTAACCTGAAACTTTACTGACTGTCTTAGAAATATGTTCCTTATATATTCAAATATTGGTCTTGTGTTTCAGTGTAGAATTGTGAACTGAAGTATACGCACTAGCTACTTTATACAGCAATTTAATTTATACCGTCCAGCACAATCATATTTATTTAAATTGTCTGCAGTATGTTTCCATTAAAAGTTTAATTCATAATTGGAACTTACTTAGTACATCTAACATAATTTTTTAAATAATCCAAAGAGTAAGATGAATCATAAAATCAACTCTGTTGACTCACCGAAGACGAGGATTGGTTTAGTGGAAAACAGCCAAAGGTCAGGCAGCGTGGATTTCCACTATGACGTGATAACTTAACAAAAAGGCTGGGCTGTTCAGCCCGCATAAACCATTACACTGTTTTAGAGCTCACCCTGTCTGCCTTCCCTGACCTACTGTAATTGCAGATTTAGTCCAACACCAGTTACTTTTCTTTTCTTCAACATAAAATCAGGATTTGCAAATGCTTAAGAAATTCACTTACTTCAAATCCATACCATTTGTTGTCAATTACCACATGTCATTTGCTACATGAATTAAATGTCATCAACCATTCCCCAGCAGACAGACACCCCATCACATCTCATAGAATAGGAACCTGAAGCTCAGCAGGTTATACACACGTCACATGTGGAAGCAGACAAGCTAGAGAATGAGAAAGCTGGGATCTTAGTTTACCTCCCATACCTGCCCTGAAGTTTAGCTGTATTTCTCTCCATTGGTTTTTCCCTTCATGTTTTCATGAGTTATTAATCTTGTTCAATAGCTAACTCATAGTTTTCATTGCTATAATTATGGCAGATGCTGAAAGAAAGGGCTTAACGAGCCTGCATCCTTTGGCTTTCTCCCTGGGTGATGTATTGTTAATGCTCTTTATTTAGAGCGGCTAAGTCATTGAAAACTTACCTTTCAGTCATTTCATGGAGCTTTAGTGTGTAAACTATTTAATGTCATTAAAAAGAGTACCTTCCTCTTAGAATGACCCCTTATTTAGCAGTAAGTTAAACCGTTATTTTTCAGCCTGGTGTGGTGATACCTTCCTGTCTTCCCAGCTCAGAGGCTTAGTGAAGAGGATCAGCAATCTAAGGCCAGGGGACTGTGTCTCAAAAAATAAATTAAAAAAGTAAAAAAGGGAGAAAAAGAGAAAAAAAAAAAAAACACAAGAAAAAGATGTTTTTTAGTTACCTGTTTTAAAGAAAACTTTGTATTCAATGATATTTTAACAATTCTAAATAAGGCATCCCTATTGCATTATTTATGGCAAACTTCAGATTTAGTATTTAATCTTTATACTTGAAAATACTCTCATTAAATAACTTCACCTCGGTAATGTTACATTTGGTTTGTCATGTAATTCAGTAGTAATCATTTCCATTTTGGATTTAAGAGCACAATCTGTAGTGTACAAAGGACAGTCTTGTGTCACATAGTGTTTTGGGAGTGACAGACTGCATACATGATACTGGTACTACAGTCTAAGGGAGGTAAAAACTCCTATCACCTAGTACTTACACTGTTTCTTTTCTGTGTTTAGATATGTTTAGATTCAGTGACTCTTACCATTTTGTTATAGTTGAGTACAATAATACGCTACAGGTTGGTAGCCTTGGAGTAGTGGGCTATAACACATAGCTGGGTATATGGTAAGCTGTCCCACTATGTTCTGAAAGTCCACAATGGTGTTCAAAAAGTGACAAAAATCACCTGATGACACATTTCTTACCATATATCACCATCATGTAGTGGCATATAACGTATTTATCATTCATGAATGTTTTCATCTTTATATTGCTATGTGGAGGATATATCATTATCATTAGGTTGTTTCTTTATACACATTCTGTGTGTATGTCACCACAACAATGTTAATTTTTAGGATTGAGATTATTCATGTTGGAAAATGTAGAAAACCAAAAAGTTTTAGGAAAACACATTGGTAATAACAAAGCATCTTGGAAGCAAAAGAGTTAAACGTTGTACATCGTTCATTTCTTTTTATAAGAGAAGTAAAATATCGACAGCTGTCTTGGTCTGCGGAAGAGGATGCTGGGGCCATGGTAGGCAGGTGCTGTATGCTGAGCTACATCCTCTGCCCAATTGACAGTAATTTCAGTAGTAAATAGATAGACAAATAACTGAATAATGATAATTTCCAAGGAAACTTACCCTCAATGACTCAAGTAATGTAACTGTCTTTTCAAGATGCCAATAAAAAAGAAAACAAGAAAAGTTAGTAACTGTAAAATGATTTATTGAGATTGCCTTTTTGAATGTCTTGTTCTCATTTTTTTACCTATCCAATTATATTTAATATCTTCTGAGTCATATACTCGTACTCCTGTTCTGTGTTATCAGACAGCATACTCTACTTCTAACAAAATTGGGGGCAGATGAATCGATACTTTCCCTGTTCCTGTCACAGCTTAGCTCCAGTGTGATTTTTATAGCCTCTGCATTTCCTTTTAAGATTTTATTTTCTTTCTTAGTGGCTATTGTCTGCCCAGGAGATAACCCATATTCGGAAGAGGTTAAACCTCACCATTCTCCAGCACCATGGTTTTTGTTCTTCCATTTTCCATTTCACTCCACTCCACCCTTCCTGACCCGATTTGAGAGGAGAATCTTGGCATCTTGAAGGAGAGCTGCCTTCCTTTAACCAGGTTAGAGGGATTACTTGTGTTAGAAAGAAAGCAGTGGAAGTAACCACCAACTTAGAGCTTTCTGAACAGACTCTGTACTTTGTAGCCTGCTGGCAGACTGTTTTAGACCATACGATTTCATGCATGTTACACCCCAAATGTGCTTGTCTTTCATTACTCTCCAGCTTTTCTCTTCAGTTATTTGTTTCTTCTTTTCAGAAACACAAAGCACATATTACTAATTTGACCAATCTTCTTTCTTAATGGATTTTTCTAAGAAACTAAGGGAGAAGGTACCCAATTTTGAGGGCTACGAAGAAATGAGTGTTTGATTAAAGCGATCTCACAGTGCTTGCTTTGGCAGTACATATACTAAAGCAATCCTATGGCACGTAAGCCTTTCTCATTATTCGATTAGCCATCTGAATAGTTATGTGGGTAGCTATCCTTGTCAAAAAACCAAGAAAAATGAATGCTTTGGAAAATTACTACTTACAAATGATTATTTTTAGTGTTGTCTTTTTTACTACAAGAAAACTATATTACACGTTTTTGCATTTGAAGCAGTTTCAGACATACAGAAAACACTAAATATGTATTGAA